CTTAATAAACTTTGTCAAATTGATAAAACTATAGTTTGGTTTAGTTTCGTTAGGTCTAGTTTAGTTCCCATAAATACAAAATACAAAAAAAAACTAATTTTACAAAAAAAATGAAACACAAGACTGTGGCAGCGAGGTGTGGTTAGGGTGCCAACTGCTTGACGACAGGGAGGAGGGGCTCAGCCGGTGTTCGGACAGCTGTGCAGAATCAGGTAATCAGTCAATCAATAAGAGCATGCTGGGAACCTGGTTCTGGTCTCTCTTGCAGTAGGCTGGGTTCTGGAAGACAACCTGCCAACAGTACGTGTGTGGGTCTGTTCAGGTGCCACTGTGGGAGTACTCTGCCCACTCTGGGAAAATATGGGAGGAGAGACTGGCGTTTTTACAATCCTTTATTCTGTTTACACGCCTTAACAGGCACCCACATATACTGGGGTCTCTGGACCCACACACGTCCACACGTACTGTTGGTGGCTGGTGTTCTGGAACCCGCCGCCACAAAGACATACAAAATCTTCAATACAGGTTATATATAAAAGAGAAAGTTTGACATATATCACTATAACAGAACAAATACAGAGAGGGGATAATATATATACAAATTAATAATCATTGCAGTTATAATGTTTAAACAAAGTCTTTTTTGCAATGACACACTAGAGAACTCCATGATATTTAATAGAAAACAAACCATGAGATGATTTTGGATAAGTCAGTTAATTTGTGCTGATAAAAGAATAACATGCATGTTGGATGAGGTCAGTTTAAAAGCTGCTTAAAAAAGAATGCATGTAGAGTCTGTAAAAATTAATGTGGACACCATTCTGTCCAATGTGAAGATCATCAGTCTGCAAATGGTCTTTCAAAGTCTGTCCTGTCTTACGTTACTATGTGCAGCTCTGCTGCTCAGACCCTGTTGTGTTACACTTTGCATTTCTCCCCCTGTTGTTTTCCCACTGTGATGCTCAGACTGCTTTTCTCTTTAGTATTTATTCTTTCTTTCTTTCCTTCTCAGTGTGTTTCAGTGAGAGAAAGGACGATTGCCTTTAGAAACATCTGTTTCCATAACAACAGCGTGACCTCTACCCCTGTGGAAACAAACACTTCCTGTTCACTAACTGAACCATCTCCACTGTTTACAGTGTAACCCCATGTTGACCTACAGTATCTGTCCATCCATCTTAGAAGACAACACTGTGGTCGAGAGACAGAACTTTAATGTCAATATGTTTCTTTTACTATCATCATTAAAGGTGAGGTTTAAGGGGTGTAGACATCCACCAAGTTTAGCATTATTTAAAAACAGAGATAATGTTTGGTATAGTAGTACATTATTTAAGATCTTTTAAAACAGAAAAACAGTCACAGTGGAGGTGAATAAAAGGATGCTGCCAAGGGCATACTGAGATTGTTTGAGAGTGTAATCAAGAGGGAAGCAAAGAACATTAGCAGGTTTGTTAAGTATGATTTAAGTTATAGAATATAAGCTGTATCAATTTAAATACAAGATTTGGGGACTCATTATTATGATCTATCTGGAAACCAAGTTACAGTAACAACTCTTTCTATTCCTAATGAAGAAATGCAGCATATGTGTGAGAGAATGATGTTTGAATAATACAACTAATACATGTTTTTACCCGTTATTTAAATCTTTGTTTCGGTCGATCATTAAGACAACATGACCTGGATATTATATAATCTATGTATAAAAATAATTAGGCCTACTCTGATGACTTTGATGTCAGCCCTCACTCTATGACTATTATTGCCTGCATTTGCAAAATGCAGTGTCACATATATAAATCAAGTAAGCTAACAAAGTCTGTGCCGGGCAAATGAAACAATAAACCACTGAATACAAACGATCCTCTAATCTTAAAGTTTCTAAACTGATATACTATCTTTCAGCAGGATGATAACTATATCAAAAAGTAGTGGAGGAAATATTCTGACATTTTACTGGAGTAAAAGTTGCAATTACATAATGAAAAAAACTTGATTACAAGCAAAAGTCGCAGTATTGTAATGTCATCTCTGGCTGGTATAGAGGTAGTTGTAATTGTACTAGTTTATACGCTCTAGTATAATTCACCAAATATATTACCTTATACTTACAAATAGAAGGCATGGTATTTTTATATGCTTATTATAGTTAATGTCTGTATTTATAAAAATAAACTAGTTGCTAAAGCTGTTAGACCAATGCATAGAGAAGGGGAAAGTATGTTTTCCACTGAAATGAGTTTAAGTATTTAGTTGCAAGTACTTGTTGGTTAAGTTGTAGTTAAGAACAGTACTGGAGTAAATGTACTTTCCACCACTGCTGCCAGTGCTGTAAATATCACTCAGGATCATAATTGATTTTTTTTCCACTTTAACATAAAGACAGATTTAATTTAAAAGTTCCAAAATCGTTTGTATTCCCCAGACATAATTATACAGTAAATGGTTTTCTTCATTCTTAATTCTTCTCCAAAATAACAAATAAAAAGTTTTGCATCCCAAATTTTCTTTCCTCTTGGATTCTATCGATCTTCATTTTCAATAAACGCCTGTTGTTAGCCCGAATAAAGCTGAATGTTGAACCTGACAGTCATTTGTCATGTAACTGATGTCTATCTCTGTGAAGTTGCAGCGAGTTAACACAGCTGTGAGTTAGTATCTACTTTAATCTGAAACTTTTCTTTTCACACTGGATGTGGACAGATCAATGATTTGAATGTCTTTTTGAATATATTCATGAAAGTTGCCGCTCACACAACCACTCCTCTATGTTGATATTGTGCTCAGGCTGTGAATGTGAGGGCTGTTAGTTGTTGTTTGTGCTCATGTGGGCTGTAACATTTGAACATGTGTTTAAACATGTGAAACACCAAACACAAAGAGTGTGTTTACGTTTGCACTCATTCGTGTACTGAATGTACAATTGGATGTGTTTGTGTCTGTGCATGGAGAAAATGAGCAGCCCCGAGAATTGGATGGTGGTGGTGGGGGGGCTGTTTGTGTGTCTGTTTGCATGTCTCGAGGTTGTGTGCATTTGTGGGAGGGGGGCTTATTGTGTCTCTCCCGAGGTGTATGTTTATGTTGAGTGGGTCGGAGGGGGTGTTTGCAGGTCTCGTAACTCTGCTGGGGTGGTCTGGTTTGAGAAAGGAGGATTCTCTCTGTGTGTGTGCCTGCGTGTGTGTGTGTGAGTGTGCATGTACGTGTGTGTGTTCGTGCAGACTAAAGGAGAAGACACACCTTCTGGAGCTGACACAGTGTCTATGTAGAGAGAAGAAAAGGAGAAGACACAGAGAGAAAGGGACATGAGAGAAGACAGGATGAGAGGACTGAGGTGGACTCTTACTTCCCAATGATCATCACACAGTCAGAAGAATATCAGAGAGGATCTCATCAAAGCTGATGAAGCAGCCTGAGGTAAGTGTCATTATAAATGCTCTCAGAACTCACATTGAGGACAAAACTTCAGTCATGTAACTTCATAGTTCTTCTCAGACCTTTTTCTGTTTCTGCCTTTGCATGAGATTTGATAAAGCTAGTGAAATTGTGCTCTTTATTCATACAACCTGAGGTTTTTTAAATGATAGCAACAATCCTAACATGGCTTTGAGTGACTCAGACTTATAATTTGCTCTCTCCGTTAACAGATCTGTGTTGTAATAAACTGAGGCTTATTGAATAAATTATTCTTTCCACAAACCAGAAATACAGCCATCCTTTATCAATAATCTGTGCAGAAGATTCTTCTTTAACAATTATTTAAGGTGACAGTGAGGCACAACATAGTCACAGGAAGTGTTTTCACATTTTAAATGGTTTCAAATCAGCTCAAATCATGTTGGATGATATTTTGCAGTCTTTTTTAACTACTTTATCGTAAATATTATTTACAGGCATTCACATTATACAGACACAATGCAGCACAGTGAGACATTTGTAATGATAAGCCCTGAGCTAGGGAAAAAGCCAAACTAAGATTAAAAAAAAAATCAAATGAATAAATGGATATGATAAATTAAAATACATATCCTACCACACAAGGGGAAATACAGTTCAATGTATGTTGTTTGCAGGAGATAATAGTTCTTAACTAAACTCTTAAACAAATCTGTATTTATAAAGCTAAAGTTTTGCATAGTATCTGTTCCTGCTGCAAAGGTGTATTAATCTAACAGTGTTTCAATGTATTTTCAGGACATTTGAGGCAACGTACAGAAGAAGGTGAAAGAAAGGAGTTGACCGACCAAATCCCCAACTAGAACCAAGGCCACCTGAAACAGTTCAACCATCACAGGAGTTCTTTGCTTCTAAAATTTACTCATCAGTAAAGTATTGGAACCTCCACTGATGTTTATGGCAAATCATTTCATATAGAAACACAGGAGATGGATAGACAGATGTCAGATGCCGACTACCCCTCTGCATCGCCCCCTTCCCTCCTATACTGCGACTACACAGACTGGTCTCCCTCCCTCTACATCATCCCGTCCGTCTACCTGCTCGCCTTCCTGGTTGGTTGCCTTGGCAACAGCCTGGTGCTCTGGGTCTACCTGGACCGAGCTGAGGGGAGGAGAACGAGGACCGGAGATAAACACCAAACTGGGGTTGGAAAGTTCTGCTGCAGCAGCTTTTTCAGAAGCAGTCAACAGAGCACTAACACAGCAGGCAGAGTTCAGCACAAGTGTTTTCTTCAGAAAAACAAAGAAAGCAGTGGATTATCCTCAGAACGAAACTACAGACCCTCGTCTGACTCCTCCAACTCCTCCTCCTCTCCTCCCTCCATCCCTCGTCCGTCTCGCTCGCTGACAGACTCTCTGATTGCCAGCTTAGCTCTTGCTGACCTTTGCTTCCTTGTGACTCTCCCTCTGTGGGCCGTCTACACAGCTATGGGCTACCACTGGCCTTTTGGGCAACCCCTCTGCCAAATCAGCAGCTTCCTCACTGCTCTTAACATGTATGCCAGCGTGTTCAGCCTGAGCATGCTCAGTGTGGAGCGGTACTGGGTCCTAACTGGACGCAGACACTCCAGCCACCATGCCCCACAGAGCTGCACCAGCAGGGCATTGTGGGTCCTCGGTGGGGTGTGGGTGCTAGCGGGTGTGTTGGCACTTCCGGGTTTGCTGCTGCGCTCCGTCAGGGAGGTGGAACTTGAAAATGAATCTGAGGACGATTGGCAGGTAGAGCCGGCTGACTCTGTACCCATGTTCCTCTCTTGCCAGATGGATTATTCGATGCTGACTGGAGCCGAGCTGGACGAGGCAGAAAAAGAGAGGGCAGAGATGTGGTGGACCGCTGCCTTGAGTCTGAAATCCACTCTAATTGGCTTCCTGCTCCCACTTGTCATCTTACTGGTCTGCTATTGCTCACTGGCCCAGCTCCTCAGCAGACATTTTGGACGGGGCCCTCGTCCTGACCGTAGACGCCAACGCAGACTTCTCCGGGTCATTGTTACATTAGTGCTGGCTTTCTTCCTGTGCTGGCTGCCTCTGCATGTTAATAAAACAGTATCCATGCTTCTGGAGTTTGGTTTTGTCCCATACTCCTGCTCTTTAGATCAGATTCTGCTGGCTGCTCACCCCTACGTCACCTGTTTAGCTTACCTCAACTCCTGCCTGAACCCTCTCCTCTATGCTGCCTGCGACCCATCATTCAGGAAGAGGTGCAAAGGCGTTATTCTCATGTTGTGCAGGGCAAAGAGAAGGGGAGTAGAGGGAGAGGAGGGAAAAAGGGATGAAGGACAGGAGGAGAAAGAGGAGAGGAGCTCAGCTTTTCCGACAAGAACACAGGAGGAAACAGCAGACAGGACAGAGGAGGAAGTGGTGGAGGAGGTGGGTGTCGTGCTGGCCGAAGGGTGAAGGGAACAATGGCTGAACGTCCGAAAAGATAACAGCTTATAAATGAAAAAGTCAGTCCACTTAAATCTACTTTCCCCTTGAAGTGTGAGGACATCCAGACATGTTGCTGCTAAGTAACATTGTATGTGAAACATTTCATTAATTTTGACACTTGACAGTTCACAATCCACAATGAAAGTGGGCCAGACTCAGACTGTGGGAGAAACTATGTCAAATGTCAATATTCTCAAAAGATAAAATGTTCAAATAAATAAACATTGATCACATGAGCATGAGTTCATAAACCCTTTCCTCCTCCAGTTCTTTCCCACGGGAAAGACGCCCTGTTTTTATATTTTTATTATTTGTTTATTGAAATGTGCTGAACAGTTTTTATTGTGGTTTTCCCATTAAAATAAATCCTATAAACTCACATTAGTCTTTTGACTTTTCTGTATTATATGAAAAAGGAGGATACAAAGTGATCAGTCGACCAATCATTTCATCTCTGCACATGATGATACAATTTCAATGAATAAAAAATATGAATGGAAAGGGATTGTTTTTTAACATATAAACATAAGGTTTCTAAACTCAAATTATTATCATCATGTCTGTTACCTGCCTGTTTACACTAATCAATATGGAGAGTTAAGGGTATACTCACACACTTCCTTTGAGTTCCTTCTCATGTTGGTGTGGAGGGAAATGAGCAGGTGGATATTCTAGCCAAACAATCACTTAGAATACAGAAAGTAAAACTACAAATTCCATTAAGCAAAACAGATGCAAAGACATGTATTAGGGTATATGCACAACCAAAGAGGCAGGAGTCCTGGGACATTAATGAAACAAGAAGACATCTATATCATTTACAAAGACATGTTGGTGTGGGGAGGAGGGTGGACTGGAAACAAAGTGAAGAAAGCCTCATCATTTGTTTGAGAACCATACACTGCATAAATAGGCAAGCACCCAATTAGAAAATGCCCACACTGTAGCCGGCCAGAAACAGTTAAACATCAATCAATCAATTTTTATTTGTATAGCCCATAGTCACAAATCACAATTTGTCTTAAGGCTTAACAAGGTGTGACATCCTCTGCCCTAGCATTCACGAGTGCATGTGTAGAACGTGCACTACTTCATTGAAAATATGATATCAAGAGAAATCTCCTCTTTCAATCGTGAAAGCAAAACACCATGATTTTTCATTGACAGGTCTCAAACAGCAGGCAAGACTTACTGTGACATTATTAAGTTCATAGGAGACAATGATTTGGCTGACAGGATGTAGATTGTACTTATTCATTTATTTTATTTTTCTGCATAATCTCTTGTTCCACACTTAGTCCAGATGGTGGCGGTATTGCAAGAAGAAGAAGACGTTTGTGTGTTTCGTTTCCGGAAGCTTTTGATTGACGGGTACATTAGCCAATAACGCTGCATGCATGTTATTCACGCCCCCTCTGCAAAGTTGACATGAAGTCTGAGTCCATCAGCTTCTGCTGCAGATAGAAGAGTGTGGTACTGTGTGTGTGTGTGTGTGTGTGAGTGAGCCTCTTCATTTACAGTCTGTGGTCGGTAAGTTGCAGGATCCTCACTCTCGTCTCTCTGTTATCGGACACATGTAGTTTTCATGTCCATGTGTGTTTGCTCTTGCACATTCTTTACATGTGATGCAGCTTTGAGAAGTGCTGGAGATGGGAACAGCGTTGATTTACGATGAGGAGATGACCAAATACAAACTGCTCTGGGTTGAGTGAGTACACACCGACACTAGTGTATGAGTGTAAGAAGCATGACGAGGGTGAACTGGTATTTATCGGCTCTTTTTACGCATTCCCTGGAATTAGTTATTGTAGGAACTATAGTTGCAGCTTATTGTTGCCAGTGCGGCCCCTGAGTGAGGGGCACTTGACGTTACTTCCGGTGTTCCAGCAGTGGTGTTGATATTTTTAGGTTTATATTTTATACACAGTCTCTGGTTTGTGTTCCCCGGATGTATGACGTTAAATCTCCCCACGATGACCGTGAAATGATCTCATTCTTCTCCTGTCTCTAGTTTATCTCTATTGTCCTTTTCCTGCGGTTCCATTATTAATGTGCGCTGTGATTGAGCTCTTTGATTTCCTCTCTGCTGTGGCTGCTTCATCCAACACATGTTCGACTCCAGATCTATGAATCTGGCTACACATCAGTGTTTTAACACCGTTAATAAATTCAATGGATGGATACATTTTATCTATTTTGCATTCATGTTACATTTTATGTTCTATCGTTAATTTATACATATTTTTATTAATCCTTCTACATTATATAGTATATTACGTTGGAATTATACCATTCATAATATATTCCAATTTTTTATTGAACATACCATGCCTGCCTATGTACTTAACAGTCTACATATGCACATACTGTAAATTTATTTCAAATGTCCTCATACATAACACAGTTATTTACCCTCATGCATTATACTGTGCCACTGCAATTTATCCACAAATATTCCATCTGAAGTTTTATTTGTATAATTCGAAACTTTCACATGTTCTCTAATAAGTTAATTTTCATGGCATGGAATCGATACATCTTATCTTAAAGGATGTTGCTCTGCCTGTGTTTGTGTCGTATGGTTTGTGTGCACATTAAGCAAACAAGCAGAACTAAATCAAGCTCATGTCCAGTATTTATTTCCAGTGTAACATCTACTTTTCAAGATGTGAGATCACAAAAGAGTTTGTGGTTTGCACTGAACATCTATTGTGAAAAAAATGTTTCAACTGAACTGCAGATTGCATCTTCTTAAATCCTTCTTTAACATCCAAAAGTGGGTGAGGATGAGCGATCATTTTAGGGTCAGTGTGTCAGATGTTAGATCTCAATGTTTGTTAAATGCTTGTTTATGTAAAGTTTGTGAATGAAACATGAAATTAATAAAATATTTATTTAAACCTCACTATTTCATGCCCAGGAACAAATCCAATTGTCCCTTGTGGGAATTCACATGCACACGAGAAGACAAAACTCTATCTGTGAAGTGATTAAAATATTTTTCTCTCTACAGTCCAATGTGTAAGATCGAAGTACCCGAGCGTTTAACTGTGAGTCATGAAGCTTTGGTCAAGAGCGGCCTGGCTGATCGGTGTGTCTCCGTACCTGTCCGCAAGGCAACGGATGCAGACATTCTGCTGGTTCACAGGTCAGATATGATATTGAGAAAGACCTCACACCTGGTTTACAGAGGTGAGATTAATACCTCACATCATTCAGCTTCATGTACTTTTCTGACGCCAACAGTGAGGAATATTTGGAGGCAGTGAAGAAGACCCCTTACATGACTCTGGAGGAACTGAAGGACTTTACCCTTCAATATGGAGATGTCTACTTCCACCCAGTTAGTCCCACACATATTCATATTCCTCATATGTTGTTAATTCATTGGTGGTTAGAGGAATTCTTTTCAGGTCGTGGTGAAAAAACACTCCTGAGTCCTGACTTATTTCCTCCCTTTCTCACAAACTGTCGTAGAACATCTATCACTGTGCCACGCTGGCTGCAGGAGCTGCACTGCAACTGGTGGACAGTGTGATGACAGGGAAGGTGAGGAATGGCATGGCTCTGGTCAGGTGAGGCTGTTTAAACCAGTTAGGGACAGCAGTCCTGATAAGTGCTCTCATGCTAAACTGAGTGTGTTGTAGTATTTGCTTAGTGAGGATTATTACCTCTGATTGTGTTGTGCTGTAGAATTTGTCACCACCAGGAGGGTTAGGGATGGGGAAGAAATTTATCAGGGACAAATAAATAAACAAATGACTGGCTCGCCATCAAAAAATGTTTGCAAATCTGTCGATACTTTGTGCATCATCCATATTTACTAATGAATTAAACAAATACAGAGGAGATGGTTCACATTGAAATATTTTTAGCCAGTTACCCAGAGAAATCCTGGGGGAAGAAAAAACGTCAGTGAGAGTTACTCCTTCAAGAATGAATAAATACTTTAAAAGAGCCCTGTCCATATAATACAATATAAATCTTAGCATTATTATGTAATTCAAAAATGTATTAAGACAAATACTAAACCACTTGAGTCAATTATTCAGGGGATAATTATTGAAACAAA